GAAGATCTAAATCCACAGCAGAAATTGATAGGGTAGGAACAGACATGTCAGTGCTGCTGATTGTGTATGAATGCTGATGGATAGGGAGAAAATGGCAAGTTAGGCACCAGAAAGGGGCAGGATAGGACCAGCCCTCCCCAAAGCTTTTAGCTGGACTCTGTAAGGGAAGTGAAATGAAATCCACACAACTGAGGGTTGCCAGCTCTGGACTGGAAAACATCTGGAGACTTTGGGATAGATCCGGGAGAGGGCAGGGTTTGGGGGGGCTCACCCCACCCTCCAAAGCAGCCATTTTCTCCAGGGGAGCTGATCTCTGTCAGCTGCAGATCAGTTGTAAAAGCGGGAGATCTCCAGACCCCACCTGGAGGCTGGCAACCCTAACACAACCACAAGGATGTGCCTATTGATCCTTGCAAGCATAGAGTGATTGATTTGATCGTGGAGTTTGGTGATCCTTTTCTATGGATTACTTCACCCCAGGGGTGATTTCCTGCAGGAGCGCACAGGAGCGGAGCTCCGGCAGTAAAGAGCCCAGGGGGCGGGCACATGCAACAAGCCCCACCCCCTGCTCCCAGCAGCCCTCTGTCAGAGCAAGAAGCAGCCAGGTAAGTCGCAGAGCTCCCCCCCGGTCCCCCGGTCCAAAGCAGTCCAGTGGCACCTTTAAGATCAAGCTTTATTCAGGTGCAAGCTCCTCTGCAAGGACAGATCTGCACGTTCTCCCCCCCCCCAATAGCTAGCAATTCAAAACAGTCCAGTGGAGCTTGAGCAGTGGGTGTTGCCTTCAGACACACGTCCGGTGATGTCAGGGAGTGTGGCATATGCTAATGAGTTATGCTAATGAGCTCCTGCACCTCTCCTTCTACGAAATGACCCCTGCTTCACCCTGACAGTCTGATCTTCCACAAATCCTATACGACGTTGGGAACCCAAGCCTGGGCCCAGGAGAGTAATCATTACGGAAGTTAGTGCCCTTGGGTGCAAGGAGAGGGCCTCCCCAAGGAACCAGACCGGAACGAGAACTCCCTAAAGTTTGGCTCCAGATCCTGGGGCTGGTTGACTTGGGTTAGTAGCAGGATCGGTCCACTAATGTGAGAGGCAAGAATGACATTGTCTCTGAGTTTGTACAGAGTTCCACTATGTAGCATCAATCAGGGCTTAATTTGACCGGGAGCCTGTTGTAGAGGCTCAAGACGCAGCTCCCATTTTGGATATATTTATTTATTTATTTATTTCTATTTGTATCCTGCCCTTCCCGCGAACGGGATGAGGGCTGCTTACAGCAGTAAGTAATACAGTTATAAAGTAATACAATCCGATAATACAATAAAACCAATTTAAAACATTTAAAATGGGCAGTGCAGTACATTCGATTCCAGGTTTCTACAGGGATCATTTCCAGGTGTGGGAGCACACAGGAGCGGAGCTCCGGCAGTAAGGAGCCCAGGGGGCAGGCACATGCAATAAGCCTGCTCCCAGCATCCCTCAGTTGGGCCACAAGGAGCAAGAAGCAGCCGGTTAAGTTGCAGCGCCCCCCCTGCCTGCTTTCAGGTATAAGCTCTCCTTCCTCTGTGAGGGCAGATTTGTGCATTTCCCCACCCCCCATAGCTAGCAATCCAAAACAGTCCAGTGGCACCTTTAAGACCAAGTTTTATTCAGGTACAAGCTCTCCCTCCTCTGCGAGGATCTGCACGCCCCCCCCCCATAGCTAGTAATCCTAAACAGTCCAGTGGTGCCTGAGCGGTGGGTGTTGCCTTCTGATGTCAGGGGGTGTGGCATATGCAAATAAGTTATGCTAATGAGTTATGCTAATGAACTCCTGCACCTCTTTTTCTACGAAATGACCCCTGGTTTTCTACAGCCAGGAGATAAACAGGACAACGCCTAGCCAAAATGATCTTATGCAGCAGCAATAGGGAGGAACAAGCTGGTTTCACACCTGGGCACGCTACTATTGATCATTGCTTGGTCCTAGATTACCTTATTTTTAAATATGTGAAACATCAGAAGAATACCTTGTACGTGGCCTTTGTGGACCTCAAGGCAGCCTTTAACTCTGTTTCTAGGGGAAGGCTTTGGGCCAAATTGGCCGACATGGGTATCGATAGAAGGCTATTGCTTCTATTAATTAAACTGCATGAAAATAATAACATCCAAATAAGAGTCACACAAGATGGGAAACTACCGAAAAGAATTCCAGTGCAAAAAGGAGTCAGAGTAGGTTGCCTTCTGGCTCCCTTCTTATTTAACGTCTATATTAACACTTTAATCACATGCCTTCATTCAACTGATACTCATGCTCCCTCATTCTCAGGTAGCAGAAAGATTCCAATCTTAATGTATGCTGACGATGCTGTTCTTTTATCCCAGACAAGGATTGGCCTGAAACGAGCCCTGATAAAATTTAAAGAGCCACGTGACCCTGAATTATTAACTACTAATTTCGCTAAAACTAAAATTGTCCATTTTGGAGATGTGTCAGAAGGCAACACCCACTGCTCAGGCTCCACTGGACTGTTTTGGATTGCTAGCTATGGTGGGGGGGGGATGCGCAGATTTGTCCTCACAGAGGAGGGAGAGCTTGTACCTGAATAAAGGTGCCACTGGAGTCATTTGGAACGGGGAACTGGGGGGGGGAGGCTCTGCGACTTACCTGGCTGCTTCTTGCTCTGACAGAGGGCTGCTGGGAGGTGGGGCTTGTTGCCTGTGCCCGCCCTCTGGGCTCTTGACTGCCGGAACTCCGCTCCTGTACGCTCCTGCAGGAAATGACCCCTGGTCGGAAGTATGTTCCACCAGGCTGAGGCTGGGGTGAGGAGCGAAAAAGCCCTGGCCCTGGTTGAGGCTAGGCAGACATCTTTTGAGCCAGGGACAACCACCTGATGGCTATCCGCAGAGCACAAGGCTCTCTGGGGCATGTATGGGGAGAGGCGGTCACGTAGATATGTTGGTCCTAGGCCGCAGTGGTACCCAGACTGCCCCACCCACTGCACACACTACCTTCCCATTCCACACACAAACATACACACAGAATGCTTTAATTATATTTCCTTACAGCTTTTCGTCTGAATTAAAACAAGGGCCTGTAAAACGGAGCTGTTCCGCCAGGCCTCTGGTTGAGGTGGCGAGGGCGTTTGATCTGTTCTGGCCTCCCTGTCCGGTCCATAGCACTGTTGCTTGACTTTTCCCAGTGCCCTCCTGTGTCACTCTGGACGCCATCTGGATACTGTAGCTTTTTAGGGTAATTATGTTGTAACGGGGCTTGCTACCTGCTATTGCTATTTATGGTTTATTGTTTGTATGATATGTTGATTTTATGTCGTGGGCTGCCCTGAGCTCATTCTTTTGGGATAGGGCGGGGCATCAATTTGATAAATAAATAAATCCATAAATAACTTTTCAGCTGTAACTATATTATGTTCAAGTCTGCAACAATAAAAATTGCCTCTTTTCAAAGAAACCCATACCCAGGGGTCATTTCCTGCAGGAGTGCACAGGAGCAGAGCTCTGGCAGCAAAGAGCCCAGGGGGCGGGCACATGCAACAAGCCCCACCCCCTACTCCCAGCAGCCCTCAGTCAGAGCAAGAAGTAGCCCAGGTAAATTGCAGAGCTCCCCCGAGCCCTCCCGGTCCAAAACAGTCCAGTGGCACCTTTAAGACCAGGTTTTATTCAGGTACAAGCTCTCCCTCCTCTGCGAGGACAGATCTGCACATTTCTCCCCCCCCCCAATAGCTAGCAATCCAAAACAGTCCAGTGGAGCCTGAGCGGTGGGTGTTGCCTTCTCACACACTTTGGTGATATCAGGGGGTGTGGCATATGCAAATAAGTTATGCTAATGAGATGCTAATGAGCTCCTGCACCTCTTTTTCTACAAAATGACCCCTGCCCATACCCATGTTTCTGCAAGAGACATCTGATGGGAAGAGCAGTGATTCCTTCAGAGACACAAGGGGGCAACCTCCTCTGTGAGGCAGGAAATTCTGCTGGGTGTGTGCATCAAGAGCGATGGAAGGACCCGATGGCATTGTGTTCTTAAGAACATAAGAACATAAGAGATGCCAATGTTGGATCAGGCCAAAGGCCCATCCAGTCCAACACTCTGTATCCCACAGTGGCCAGAAATACCAGTGTCATCAGGAGGTCCACCAGTGGGGCCAGGACATTAGAAGCCCTCCCGAGACCAGCTTGAAATTTAAACTCCAAAATAAAGCATTGGATCAACATGCTCATGGCAAATGGATACAAGAGCACTCAGATTTCTCAGGGTTTTAAATAACTGTCATGGCAGCAAGTAGGTCTCTTTAAATACAAATTTGCCCCAATCACATGCATTAGCTAGCTGGAACCTTTTCCTCCCACCTAGCTCATCTCTGTTACGGGGGCTTGGCTGAGGGGGAAATGAGGTCATGCAAAAGAGACCCAGTTGGTCTTCCAGACAAGCTTCTCGAATTCTGCAGGAATGGGAAGTAAGTTTGGTATCATTTGCAGTGGAAAACTGCTGGCCAGAGAGGAGGTTCAACCAAGGGTGTAGACTTTCCAATTTCCCGGGGGGGGCTGGGGCTGGGCCAGAGGCATTGCTTTGCTAGGAGCAAGGGTGGCTCCCGGGGGAGGCTGAGCACCTTCCTGAAAATTTCGGCGGGGGCTGATGCCCCGCCGCCCCCACAAAGATTACGCCTATGGGGCAAATCATTTGAGGCAAATTATCCTGTTGCATCTCTGTAGCAGGGATGACAGGAGGACCCAGTGCACCTGATGTTCCCAGCCCACAGGCAAGTTTCATTAAAAGGAGTCAGGGTCCGAATGGTATATCGTTCAGAGATGCAGCGGATAGCTTTCCATCTTTGAATTCTCAAGAGTCTGATCATGATTTCTTTCTCCTCTTGCAGGGCATGGGACAGGGATTATTAGTAAGGATTTTATTTATTTCTACCACTGTGCATCACAGTGCAACCAAGATCACATCGTGGAAGTTGCGGGGGATCTCCCTGCTTCTGGTTGAATCTTACCGTGTTGTAGTATTCGGCGATGTACTCCGAGTGCTCAAAATTCCCTTCGCACCAGTCAACTTCTGCACTGAGGTAGGCAAATATGCTTGACATCTTGACGCCACTTTTTGGAGAAACTGGGTGGGGGGGGGAACAAGAGAAAAACAGCCAGTCAGGTAAACAATACTTGAAAAGCAGATGAAAAGGAAACCTGTCTGTCCAGCTCTTTCTAACCAAATTTGAACACACGCTCGTGTCCTTATCTCTTGGCTGCCAGCAAGCAAGGTCCGTGGCGATGGTGAGCGGCCGGCCGTAGATGAAGTTGTGGAACTTCTTGACCCCGGCCACTATTGCCAGACCCTCGTGATCTATCTATGCATAGTTCCGTCCCCTCATCTCTTCCCTTGGAAACTTGCTGGCACCCTCCACCACTACTTTTGAGTAGACTGGTTTAGGATTGCTCCTCATTCTGCTTCTGTACCACAAAGGTGCTCTGGTTCTTGCAGCAACAGAGCATCCACACAGCTGTATCGTCCCCCCCCCCCGAGCAGATAGATCAGGGCAACAGATTGCTATAACGCTTATTATGCTGTAGTGATCCGCAATGTGGACTGGGAAAAACGTGCGCCTTCCGGTCCGCATAGCATGCAAAAGCACTTTGACTGTGAACTTTCTAAAAAGGTCACGTCAAACCAGGTTAAGGATTGACCGTAGCAAAGCAGGGGAAACCCAGAAAGTGGACAATTCAGAGAAGGCATCATTTGGATGTTCCTCCCCCCTGAAAAATACCAGGAGGGCCCCCCCGTTCCAGTAGGGATGTCAAAATGGAGCAAAAAGCCCCACCTGGAAGCATCTTTTGTCTCCGATTCAGTTGCTTAGTGAACATTTCACTGGTGGGAAGGGGGCAGATTTTGCTCATAACTCCCTTTGCAGGAGAATGTATCCTGGCTCTCGATCTCTTTGTGACCCCGTGGACAAACCCAGGCAACCTGGAAGAGGGGTCACAAAGATCCGTGGGTGGTAGACCTCTGACCAGCATTGCCTGGTGTGTTGCATGGTTCAAAATATTGGCCACATAATCATGGCCCCTGTGATTCTCCTTTCAAAACAACCTAAGTTTCCTAACCTCAAAGCTTTCCAGACAGACTTGAGGGCTAGTGAGGTCTGGTGATACCTGGAAAATGTGTACAGCTGGAGATAATGGCCACAGCAGTGAGAATATGTAATCAGATCTCAGGGTAGGGGCCTGGGAAGGAATACCTTCTAACTCAGCAATGGATCATCGGTGAAGGGAGCCCAGGGGAGGTGGCCTCAGTTTGGTGACATTATTCTGTTTCTTAATTTTTAAACAAAGTGTCTGTTAGGCTGCTTCTGAACATGGAGGTTCCATTGAGCAATTGTGGCATCCTTCATGAACGTGTCAGATTGCTGTGTTCAAGCCAGTCACAAGAAGTAGTATGCACACAGCTGTGAAGACCAGCGTTATAATGCATATAAGAAAGGAAACAACTAAAGTATAAAGTGAATGTAATTTTGGCAAGTAAGTATCAAGATGAAATCCCCCAGGGTAAGCTTCCGTTTCGTTGACAAATGGAAGCCTACTCCAGGGAATTTCGTCTTGATACTTACTTGTGAATATAAAATATTACATTCATTTTATGCTTTAGTTGTTTCCTTTCTTATATGCATTGTAGCACTGGTCTTCACAACTGTGTGCACACTACTTCTTGTGATTCTTTGTGGCTGTGACCTTCTTGTTTGGGTGTTCAAGCCAGTGGCCATTCCCCACATCTTGTGGCAGAAAATTCCGTGAACTAATTAACTGGGGCAAGGTTGATGCAGTGCAAATAGACTTCGGAAACAGGAATCCGTGCATACATTTTGCACTCCAGTACGGGGTGGGTGGGGAGGATGAAACGCATCTTGAGAGAGAGTATCTGTGGACGGCTGGAAAGGAGAACGAATCTGAAGATGTGGAGCCTGCCATTCCATCACCCTTTGTCAGCTGCAGTCAGGGTGTACCTGACTACTTTGAAGTCTAATTTGCATGGAACCTTCATATGCATAATTGTTGCAACTTGCAACCAAGCAAAAAGGTATTCTTCAAGCAGCCTTTGAGGAACGCACATTTTTTGGAGCACACTCACTGCAGTGTTGGGGGGGGGAGAAGGCTGTACCCTTCACCTGACCATCCTGGACTGCCATCTGCTGCCTTTAAACAAGTACCTATTGACCAGCAGTTGTGCCATCAGTATCCCCACATCTGTGGTTTTTGAAAACGTGAAGAAAAGGAAATTATTTTGCATTCATCAAATATCACTGGAGGTTTCAGGAGTGTTTCACAGGCATTTTTTAGGTTCACAGTACTGGACGGGAAAAAGACAGATCACCTGCAATGCTCCCTCTAAGCTGTGGATTCTTGTGAGCAAAAATTCTACTTTGTGACCTACTTGCATCAAAGTTGTGAGCAAGCGATTTGGCTGTTGGCATAAATTAGTTTGCTCTGGAGCCATCCTGCCTGAGCTAAGACAAAAACGTGTGAGCTGGAGAATAAAAAACTGTGAGCTAGCTCACACTAACTCAGCTTAGAGGGAACACTGATCACCTGTGCTTCTGCAATTGATCTCATTCTACCTCTTTTATGTTGAGATATATATCATCTATCTATCTATCATCCATCTATCTATCATCCATCTATCTATCATCCACCTATCCACCTATCTATCTATCATCTATCTATCTATCTATCTATCTATCTATCTATCTATCTATCTATCTATCTATCTATCTGATATAGATAGATAGGCAGACAGATATCAAATAGATATCAGATTCAAACAAATTAGTGTATGGCATCTGTTATTTAATTAATCACTGTGGTCAAACTAAAAATTCTCCCCATTAGCACTATATAAATAAAAGACCAGTCAGAATTTGGGGTGGGGAAGGGGAAATTACTATGCTTATTATAAGTAAAGATGAAAAATGAGTGACTTGTATTAAAGTTACTATGATCTTCCCCCCCATCAGTTTAATGATAGTTTAGGCATAAATATAACTGCACTAATATAATTAAGATTATTATAGATAATATTACAGTGGTATAAATACAAGTGTTACCTGAAATAATGATATATTCACGACCATAAAATAGCTTTTGAAGTATATATGAACCTAGTTTATTGTTAGCCTTTTAATTTTAGAAATGCTCTTAAAATGTATTTTTATTATAATTTGTTTATGACAGCCATAGTGGTATTTAGATATAATGAAACATTACATAATAAGCAATGTCTAACATTTAATATTAATAGTAGCTAATGGTAATAAATGCTAGAATTTAATAAATAATGTAGACAGTATGTAAAAACTTTCCAAATACTATGTATTTTAAATGTTTATGTTAAATGCTCTATATTTACTCTGATGTTGATAGTCCTTGTTATGAATAAGTTATTGGTTATTATAATATCTATATTTCCCCCTTTCCCTTGTTTTTCTGTATCCCTATTTTAATTTAAAATAGCAATGATAATAAAAAAGATATTAAAAATTCTCCCTATTAGCTATTAAATCCTTCCTTCCTTCCTTCCTTCCTTCCTTCCTTCCTTCCTTCCTTCCTTTCTTTCTTTCTTTCTTTCTTTCTTTCTTTCTTTCTTTCTTTCTTTCTTTCCAAGGCTGTCCTCCCTTAGCCATGAAATTAAAAGACGCCTGCTCCTTGGGAGGAAAGCGATGGTGTACCTAAACAGCATGATAAAAAGTAGAGACATCACCCTGCCAACAAAAGTCCGTATGGTCAAAGCAATGGTATTCCCAGTAGTCATGTATGGCTGTGAGAGTTGGACTATAAGGAAGGCTGAGCGCCGAAGAATAGATTCTTTTGAACTATGGTGCTGGAGAAGACTCTTGAGAGTCCCTTGGACTGCAAGAAGATCACATCAGTCAATCCTAAAAGAAATCAACCTTGACTGTTCCCTGGAAGGCCAGATAATGAAACTGAAGCTCAAATACTTTGGCCACCAAATGAGAAGGGAGCACTCACTGGAGAAGACCCTGATGCTGAGAAAGACTGAAGGTAAAAGAAGACGGGGACGGCAAAGGATGAGATGGTCAGATAGTGGTATCGAGGCAACGAACATGAAATTGAGCAAACTCCGGAGGATGGCAGAAGACAGGAGGGCCTGGCATTATGGGGTCCATGGGGTCGGACTCGACTCTGCGACTGAACAACAACCCTTAGGCAGGGCTCAGGGCAGTTAACATCAATAATCTTTATAATAATCTTTATGAACTTTCTTTTTGCATTGCGCTAATTAATACGTCACCCAAACAGATTAAGTGATTAAATAATTATAGCATGTCCCTTGGATTATTTTAATCTCTTAGTCCAACCAGGCATTTTATTGTTGACTCATAGGTGCAGAAACCTGCTTTGTGTGCATCTTTCTAGCAGGGGTGCAGAAAACTGCGTTGTGTGCAATCTTCCAGTAGGGTTAGGGTTGCCAATGGACTGAAGAGACATGAACCACTCCTGTGCCTCTAGCAGCTCTGCAGGAATCAGCCAGTGAATTAATTTCCTAACGTGACCGAGAACAAGAAGATTGACACCTCTTTGATCTGGATCAAAATGCTGTCGAAGGGGTCGCTGGCAGGGACCAAACTGAAAACTAAGTAACCCGAAATTGCAGGCTCATTCCCTGGTGTCTCCTGTTAAAGGACCTACGCAGAGTTAGGAAGAAGGCCTTTTCCCTCCCTGGGTTCCCTCCCTGGGTTCTTGCTCCCTCCAAGCCAGGGGCGGATTAACCACTAAGAAGACTAAGCAGGTGCTTAGGGCACCAGGGCCAAAGGGCCACAAAGTTGGGGAAAGGGTGAAAAGCTTAGTTTGTGCAGTACATTGTGTTATCCTATGAATAAATTTTTGTTATAGCTGCAACCTGCATTGTATAGCTGGTCAGACAGGTCAACAACGAAAGCGGACTGGGGGTCAGTGTGGAAAGGAGGGGGGGCACCAAGATTGGTCAGTGCTGAGGGCACCCATGAGCCTTAATCCGCCCCTGCTCCAAGATGAGTCAGTGTGAGCTAGCTCAGTTTTTTAGCCTCCGGAAGGAGGGCTCCAGAGCAAACTGGTTTATGCGGCGGCCAAATAGTGTCATAGATGCAACGAACATGAAATTGAGCAAGCTTCAGAGGATGGCGGAAGACAGGAAGGCCTGGTGTGATCTGGTCTATGGGGTCGCAAAGAGTCAGACTCGACTGTGTGACTGAACAACAACAACAAATCGCCTCGCTCACAATTTTAATGCCAGGAGCTCCCAAAGCGGAATTTTTGCTCACAAAACACTCTACCTCTTAGAGGGAGCCTTGCTCAGAGGGCCACAGACAGGCTAGGCAAGGCTGAGAGGGATGACCTGATTGTTCTGTCTCTGTATGGGGCCCCACCCCCCACAGAAAAAGCCCCTCAGGGGCTGAGTGGAAATCTGTCCTGAATATAGGCCTCCCAGGTCCTCCCTGGCCACCGGTATGGGGGGGGAGGTAGGGTTGCCAGCTCCAAGTTGGGAAACATCTGGAGATGTGGGGGTGTCATTTGGGGTGGACAGTGACCTCAGTTGGGTAGATCAAGATGGGTTAGCCATCTTGGTCTGTCTGTTGCAGCAGAAAAGAGCAGGAGTCCAGTAGCACCTTAAACAGGCCCCTAGCTAACGCGGGCCCCACGGGCCCCAGGCCCCTAGCAGTTTTTATGGGCTCCCTTCCTGCACCTCGGCTTCCCTACCCCAGCTTGCCTGTCAGCCTGTTATTTATTTATTTATTTATAGCAGGGAGGACAAGAACAGTGGCTTCAGAGGCTGTCCCTGGTGCTGTGCCACGGGAAGTGGCACTTGGGCTCCTAGGGAGGGGGAGCTGAACCCAGAGGCTGTGGCTGCTGCAGCCCTTGCCCTGGAGCCTTTGATTGGATTAGCAGGTGGCCCCCTCAGGCCCCCTCCCTAAGACTAACAGAATTTGTGGCCGGGGAGGAGCTTTTGAGAGCCACTGCTCACTTCTTCAGTGGGGTACAATGCCATAAAGTCCGCCCTCCAAAGTGTCCGTTTTCTCCAGGGGAACTGATCTCTGTAGTCGGGACAGGAGCTGTAACTCCAGGAGATCCCCAGGTCCCACCTGGAGGCTGGCGTCCCTCCTTGCATATCAAAGAGAGGAAGCACTTGGCCTCCCCCCCCCTCAAAACGGAACCTTGGATTTTAGCCTGGCATCTGTCTTTTGGAAAGCAAGTCCAGAATTGTTTTAAATCAGTTATGAAAATCAGAAAATCCCACATGGTATTTCTATGGCATTTCCATTCAGTGCTCAAACACATACGATTCCGTCCCACGGCTGTTCTTGAAAGCAGTCTATCAACAGCAGTGAGCCGGGATGTTCCGAGGCAGTCTACCCCTGCATAATGGGCTTCCAGAGACCAACGAGAAAGGAAGGATTGCTTCCTTTCCAGAACAAGAGAATTCAGCCTGCCTAGTTTAGCTGCATGAACTAAACACCTGTCAGGGAAAAGGAAACCATTGTCTCAGTTGAAACCCAGCTGAATGCCGTCATATTTCCCAACATGTTTCCAATCCAGAGTGCATCTGTTCAGGGATGCCTCTGTGCTCAGCTTCTTTCTTGTCTTACCTGCTCTTTCCTCCTGAAACTCCAGTTGTCAGCACAAGGTACGAAGGTGTGGGAAACAAAGCTCTCTCTCTCTTCCACCACCAGGTGAGTGAGCTAAAGATGGGATCTAATTCAAGCTGAGGTACCCAGGGAAGAGCTTGCAGCTGGCATCTCTCTTCTGGAAGCTGGTGAGCTCACTGCGCTTCAATAAACCTCCATTCTGTGGGGGTGGCCGGGGTAGGAGGCTGGGCCTCGGAACACCTTTACACACATTTCGACACTCTCTGACTCACTATCTCTGCCATCGGGGCTTCTCTTCCCAGACTTAACGCCATTTCATTCTGCCCCTTGGGGTGACGATTCGACGATGCTCTTTGCGGGTGTTGAAAAATTAGCTCCGAGGGAGAAAGAAAGTAGAGTTCTTTTTGTGTTCGCTTTTTTTATTCAGCAATCTCATTTATTGACATAGCAGTTCTAACGTGCAGTGCAAACAGACTCGCCTGACCAAGCTGATCCTCCCGAGTTCCAGTCACTGCCCTCTGAGACGGGCCAGCCAGTTTGGGAATGAAGGTAATGTTTTCTTTTTCATTTGTTCTCCAGTGTCTGGAATTCAAGGGGTAGACTGCCTCTGAACACAGAGGTTCCATCATGGCTCACAGCTACGGTTGCCAACTCCAGGTTTGGAGAATCCTGGGGGACTTGGGGGTAGAGACTGGGAGAGGCAGGGTTTGGGGAAGGGAGAGAGCTCCAAAGCAGGCCTTTTCTCCAGGGGAACTGGTTTCTGTAGTTTGGAGAGCCGTTGTAACGCTGGGACCGACCTGGAGGCTAATCACAGCCCTCAATGGGTTTCTTCTCCAAAAGGAGAAGGAGAAGGAGAAGAAGAGGAGGTTGGATTCATACCCCATGGCCCTTCACTACCCAAGGGAGTCTCAGAGCGGCTCACAAACTCCTTTCCCTCCCCCTCCCCACAACAGACACCTTGTGAGGTGGGTGGGGCTGAGAGAGCTCTTGACAGAAACTGCTCTTTTTCAAGGACAGCTCTTATCAGAGCTACGGCTTGCCCAAGGTCCTCCAGCCAGGTGCAAGTGGAGGAGGAGTGGGGACTCAAACCCGGTTCTCCCAGATTAGAGTCCGCGCTCCTAACTACAACACCAACGAGACCAGCTGGGTTGGAGCAAAGGCCCACCAAATCCAATAGCCTATTTCTAACAGTAGCCAGCCAGACGCCTCTCATGAACAGTTCCCTGCCCCCATTTATTTCTCCCCCTCCAAACTTGGTTTTCAGAGATAGATTCCCTCTGTAAATGGAGGTTCTGTTTAGCTGGCCACTACTGATAAACCTGCCCTCTTCCATGCGTCTGTCTATTCCACTTTCAAACCTTCTTAAGCCAATAGCTACATTTGGTGCCAGAGAGTTCCATAAACTCAGTCACATTGCGTAATGTATTTACTGATATACTTCATTTATACGCCAAATTTCTGCTCACTGTGGGCAACCAGGGCGGTTTCCAACATTTCTTTTCTCCATTTTTATCACAAGAACCCTGTGAGGTCGGTTAGGCTGAGTGGGTGCGCCTGGCCCAAGGTCACCCAACAAGGATCCACGGCAGAGACAGACCCCGGGTGGCTGGCTCTGAGTGGGGAAATACCTGGAGATTTGGGGGGTGGGTCTTGGGGAGAGACGGGTTTGGGGAGGAGAGGGACCTCAGCAGGGTGCAATGCCATCAAGTCCACCCTCCAAAGCAACCATTTTCTCCAGGGGAACTGATTTATGTCGTCTGGTGTAATGTATCCATCTCAGACCGCGTGTGCGGCCATTTCGCCACGCGGTCAGACGAAGCAACTGAGCTTCGCTCTCAGTAACAATGGGACAAGTGGATCCTAGCCGGCACCTATCGGCAGGTTAGACTCCTGGCCAAGAGCCTATGGAACTCTCAGCCACTGGAAATAGCCAATCACTTGTGTGTGGGTGTGTTTTGGGTGCGGGGTTGTTGCACGTATAAACCAGCCTGCAAGCTGGGTAGTCTCGTCTTGTTCTGAGCTGAAATAAAGTATGAGAGCTGAAATCACTAGTAAGTCTCAGTACTTTTCACTGGCGATGAAGGTGGGATTCTAACTCCCAGGAACAATGACCCGGATGAAGATTTGAGCTCTGCATCAAGTCCCAATGCCGAGACTGCCACAAGCCGCTCCGCTTCGCACCCTGTTCTCTAGTAGCCACTCACCTTGATGGAGTGACACACATTCAGACCTACAAAATCGCTGTTACCGGAATAAGTTGAGGAGGTGATATGGCTATACCTATGGCCCATCACTAATACCAGGAGTCCAATTATAAGAATACAAGGGAACAACAACTGGTTAAATTATATGTGTACTAAAACTCTGTAACAGGTCTTTTAATGTGTGTCTAGAATATATTATAGATAGTGACCACTGAGGAAGGCCCTTAGGGGCCAAAATGCGTTTGGTCTTCAGTTGTAAATCATTTACCCATCATATGTATGTATAAGCTTTTATAGTCTGATCTTAGACAAAGTAATTTTTAATCAGGAGAGTTTTAACATGTGTACACCTTAATAAATATTTGTACTTTTATATATATGGTTTAGCTTAGGCCTTTTGGCTCGTTGTCATATCTTGGGTTGAGTTCCCCCCCCCCTTTTCCAGTTTTTGTCGCATTCCTCTTTGGCCAGAGAACAATGCCCCAAACCGCGACGGGACACAGCCCAACGGAGCTCCTGTTAGGACGGCACCTGACGACCTGGCTGGACCGCCTCTATCCCGATCGAGCACCGGAAGAGGAACTGGCCATGGAGTCACCCGAGGTGGCCAGAGGGTTTTTTCCTGAGGACCCGGTCTACACCCGGTACTATGCGCAAGGCCCGCCATGGATTCCGTCCCGTGTGGTAAGAGTCCGGGGACCCAGGTCCTATGACATCTCCAGCGAAGATGGCCAGATACTTCACCGCCACATCGATCAGCTGCGGCGGCGGGTACTGCCACACGACCCCAAGGACTGCGAGGACCCAGACACCCCGGAGACTCCCACTCCACCTCAGCTACTGGATGACCGGGCCCAGCGAAATGAGGTTTCCGTCGAGGCCCCAGCAGACCGCATGACCAGGCCCCGAGAAACAGCACTACCAGCGCCCCAACTGCCAACAACGCCCATCTCGCAGCCGAGTGCTCCGGTGTCACCTTCCGCCCCGGTTCCCACACCTCGCCGCTCTACGAGAAACCCTAAAGCCCCCTCCTACTTGCAGGACTATGTGTGTGGGTGTCTTTTGGACCAAGGGGGGAGGGGTGTAATGTATCCATCTCAGACCACGTCGCCACGCGGTCAGGCGAAGCAACCAAGCTTCGCTCTCAGGAACAATAGGACAAGCGGATCCTAGCCGGCACCTATCAACAGGCTAGGCTCCTGGCCGAGAGCCTATGGAACTCTCAGCTACTGTAAATAGCCAATCACTTGTGTGTGTGTGTGTTTGGGGAGCGGGGTTTGTGCACATATAAACCAGCCTGCAAGCTGGGTAGTCTCATCTTGTTCTGAGCTGAAATAAAGTATGAGAGCTGAAATCACTAGTAAGTCTCAGTACTTTTCATCTGGAGATCAGTTGTAATAGGTGAATATCTCCAGGCCCCACCTGGAGGTTGGCAGGCCTAGGCAGACCAGGGATTTAAACCTAGGTCTCCCAGTCCAACCTTCACTACTACACCCTTATGGTGTAAAGAACTGAGTTCCTTTCCTCTGTCCTGAATCTACCACCCATCAGAGTTTGGTATGACAGGTGAGAGTCCAGGAACACCTCAAAAACTAACAAAATTTGTGGCAGAGTAGGAGCTTTCGCAAGTCACTGCTCACTTCTTCGGATGCAGCTAGAATGGGAGTCTATCTGTCCTATATACTGGAAAGTGGAGTGTTCTCTTACAAAGGAATTTCAAAGGGAGATTAGAAAGAGACACTGCTGAATTGCAATTGATAATGAAGCTCAAGAGAATGCATCCTCCTGGACTGAAGCGAGACCCAGGTTTCCTGTTTCATTACCAGTGCTGATTTCTCCACACCAACCTAGCAGTTTGAAAGCAAGAAATTGCAAGTAGATAAATAGGTACCACTTTGGTGAGAAGGTAACAGGGTTCCGTGCGCCTTGGTGTTTAGTCATGCCGGCCACATGACCACGGAAATGTCTTCGGACAGCGCTGGCTCTTCAGCTTTGAAACGGAGATGAGCACCGCAACACTAGAGTCGGATTCGACTGGCTTTCGAGCAAGGGAACCTTTACCTTTACTACCCCTCTGCATATCCCAGGTAATCCAATCATGCTTGCTACTGTCATTCCAAACAACAAGGGGAAAAGACTAGCATCACAGGAGTCCCAAATATACAAATTCCACTAATAGAAAACACCATCAAAGATTGCCAAAATAATATATTAAACAATTATAAAATTGGTGGTGTCACAACATTAATGCATACTGTAACTATAATAAGGCATAAGATGCAATATTTCCTCCTTTGAAGATAAGACATATATAAAGTACTGAGACTGATGCATGGAATAGTGATTTCAGATCATACTTTATTAGTACATAGGAGAACTTGAGATAACTAGCGTGGCCCGTGGCCCGCTTATATTCCTGTTCAAAACACACCCCACACTTACACCCACACCCGTGATTGGATTATTTACACACAGCTCCCCCTATTGGTTCCCTATTAGGATCCGGGCTGACCGATACATGAGTTCTCAGATCCGTAGCTGCTATTGTCCTTGGGTGCGAAGCTCGGCACATTACTGTGGCCACGTGTGAGCCCCACTGCGTGCACGTAGTCTTATGGTACACAACAACATAAATCCCAGCAAAGGCCAGTGTGCATGGCAGACCCAAAGGTGGGCTCTGCATTTTAATTCCTGCTTTGCTCCAGGCATTGGTAGTAACACTTTCTCAGTATGAACACCACACCAATGTATGGTTTTCTCTCCTATATATTATTGTGTCTAAAAAGTAGATAGCTTGTTCATCGGTTTCATGTGTAAATTTTATAGTTGGGTGGACTTTCAAGCAAGGAGAAGCGGGTGTACAATTCTAGAAACTCCCGCTGG